AAGTGACCCGAAATAGGCACTCTGGTGGAGTTACTTTGTGCGTGTGTGTTTATAAGTAGTTTTAAACCTTGTGATCCACAAAACAGCATAAGAGTAAAAGAGTAAAAGAAGAACTGACTGCGTTACAGCACCCGCTGCTTGTTGAGAGCAAAAGCGATACGCGCTTATGTGTCTTTTTTTAGCGACTTTTTTTAGAGAAAAAGTCGCTAAGGGGTCTGAAAACTTGCTAAATATAGCGACAAAGTCGCTAAGTTGGCAACACTGCTATGACAAAGCAAGTAGGTTTTAGCAATAACTTTTTCATATACTGTTATGTGACGGCTGTGTGGAGGCAGGAGAAGGACCCAAAGTGCAGACTCTGGAGGCACAAAGTAAACTTCCAAAAAAAAAAAGCTTTAATGCTGAACTGAAAAAATACCAGAACTGAGACTTTAAACATAAACTCAGGCAAGCAGACAAACCACACAGCAAAATAAACAGTAGATCGCCACACAGACACAGAGAAACACAGGGCTTAAATACACAGAGGGAGCAATCAGGGAATGAGTAACAGGAGGGAAACACAGCTGGGGCAAATCAGGCTTAACGAGACAAGGGGAAGCAAAACCAGACACATTAACATCAGACATAGACTTTCAAAGTAAAACAGGAAACATAACACAGACTCAGAGGCAGGCACTATAACAAAGGGAACAGAGACATGGGACCAGGGCAGACACAGACACTGACTGGATGTGGGGATACAGCAGACAGGGGTGACAGCAACATGGCACACAGACAGAAACCCAGAACACTAAAACTCTAACCAAACCCCACCCAGAGAACCTAAACTAAGAATGATCCTAAAAACCATAAAGCAAAACTAGAATATAATTAAATAACAAAATCAAAGAACCAAAAACACAAAACACTGGGTCAACGACCCAGGGACCCTAACATATACCTCTCCTTGGAAGATCAAATCCAAAATGTCTTGAGAATGCCAGGAATTACAGATGAATTAATAGGAAGGCAAACAGAAACATCTACTTCTCTGGTTTTTTGTATCTTAAAGGCCGGTCTGTGTCTGACATAAACCGGTCTGTGGCGCAAAAAGGTTGGGGACCGCTGCTGTACAGCATGAAGGTTAATAGGACCGTACTCATATGAATATGATGTGTAAATTGATTGATTCTTGTACCTCCACGCCGTAGCGGCCCAATTCTTCACCCCAGTGAAGAGGTGAT